CTGATGATGTAGTAATAGAAATTCTAACTACTTTGTTGCACTATGTAGGACTATTCCGTGAGAAGAAGGCTTTAAAAAACTCATTATCATGTTAGGCATCGTTGTTGGATTGCACTTCCCGAATACATTACCTTTTCATGAACATTCAACAATTTTATGGACATTTATCGTATGCGTATGCTTTTATGTCTTTATATCATATGTTATTTTAGGCTTATGTGCTTGCATATCACTAATATCATTGCCACTTCGACATGATTGTAAGTTATATCTCTTCATCGCCCATGGGACATTATTGTTCATGTACTTGGGCCACAAATTTAAAGCATGGGATATATGGAAAAGTGCGGCATCATATTTGAAGACTAGGTGGCATGCAATTACTGAAGGCAATAATGATCTTGCAAACACCATACATGTCTAGACTCTTATTCCCTCTCTATCCCACGATTAGTTTGCAAATAATAAGTTTTCTCATATCTTTTAATTTCTCTAGCTTTTCATTGCAATGTCATCTGATAGCTAGTATACCTCTGGTCTTTGATATAAAACCCGATTGACTAATTTGAAAAGATTAAGATAATTAATAAATTACTTAATTACAACATATGTTATATAATATTTATAAAATATTCATGTGTATCATTAAATTATATATCAGTTTATAAGTTAAGCAAATTAGTTTGGAGAATGACGATAAATATAAATACTTTAAAGTTATTTTTTTAGTTTCTTTAATCTCCTCAAATTAGTTAAGTGGATCTTATATTAAGAATTGAAAATAGTACATGTGAACAATGCAAGGAGGTACTCTATTATAACATTCCAAAACATGAATGTTTATACGTTTGGAAAAAGGCCCCATATGGAGGAGTGATCATAGAATGCGAGATCAATACTAGTAACTTAAAAGAAGGAAAATCTTTTACATTTGAAATATTTGTTTGAACAGAGATATGTGTTGATACAGAGTTTGGATACCTTTATTTTACCTATCATGTATTTGTCCTTCAGTTTTTATGTTTATTCTTTTTCTGTCATCTTTGTTTTTTCTAATATGACGCTCACGCATGCACATTTCCCATATTCAAATATTCTACTATCAGAATTCGAAAACAGAGAGATGGCATGTGGAAGCCAAGAGGGGAGAAGGATTTATCATAACACCAAAAACCAATTTCCTCGCAGATGATCATATACTATCTCTAATCCTAAATATAAGAGCTAGTTGGGGAATTAAATTTTACCTTAAATATAATATCTCAATCTATTTAGTTTTTCAAATTCATAAATTTTCTCTAAAATACCTTTTTTTTTTGGTGAAATACGGGGCAATCAGCCCAATTTATTACTTAATCTTTACAACTCGTGGGTATGAAGTTCCCACCTGATCACTGTACGAAAAACTCCTCACACACCTAGGTGGAGTTTCAAAGAAACAAATATCATCTTCAATCAGTAAACTTAAATTCGCTAAGGCATCTACACAAAAATTGCCTTCTCTATGTATATGTTGTACATACCTATTGAAAACAATTCAGTTCTTTACAAATCAATTTTAACAAGCTTGATTGCATCTCTGCACCTTCCAATATTGGTAGTAGTAGTTGTACTATGGCTACCGAGTCGCACTCTACAACCAGTTTCTGAACTTTCTTTTCCTTCGCTAGAGTTAAACCTGTTGCTACACCCCATAATTCTGCTTTAATTGCAGAGTATACCCCCAACCTTCTAGCAAATCCTCCAATCCATCCTCCTTCACTATTCCTTAGCAATCCTCCACAACCTGCAACTTTCTCCCGTCCCTTTGAAGCACCATCAACATTGAGCTTTATCCACCCCCCACTAGGCTCTTCCATCTGATATATATATTTCCTGCTTTTGGTCAGTCCCATTAAAATAACTCTGTTGTGCCCTTAGCACTTCATCAGCATACTTCTCAATTACTCTTTTCTTCCCCTCTGGTATAACAAAATTTTCTTCAAAGATACATTGGTTTCTCCAGTTCCAAAGCTACCAGACAGTGATAGCAAAAGTCAAAGCTCATTTACTATTCAGATTTCTTAAATTCCATTCTATCCAAGCTTTCCCATTTAGTTGATAGAAGTTTAAATCCACTGTGTCTCCTCTCAACTCTTCCCACAGACTCTTTGCAACCTCACAATCTCTTAGCACATGCATGAGATCTTCTCTTCTCCCCACACACTTATAACACGCATCACTTCCTCCCATCATCTTTCCCCTCCTTTCTGCTGTCATTAATCTGTCATGAGCAGCCAACCACAAGAACACCTGCACTCTTCTTGGGCCCTTCCATTTCCAGATTCTCTTCCAAACCTTTTCCTCACACCCTTGTTCATTTCGCAGTAACCCATACATTTATGCCACACTATAATCAGCATTCAAATCTGATCCCCATTTAATTCTATCCGTGCCAAACTGCTTATTAGGCGGGGGAATAGCTTTAATTAGTCTCCTTCCCTCTTCTGAAACCCAGTTATTAATTCTCTCCATGTCCCATTCTCCTCTCTCATTAACCATCTCACTAACAGTCACGCTCAAATCCTCTTCCGTCAACTGAACATTGCCTTTTCCACTCAAGGATGTATTCACATCAAGCCATTTATCCTTCCAAAAATTAACCAACTCCCCATTACCAATAGACCATGACACATTATTTATTATTTGGGGCCATAATTTGACTATCTGTTTTCAAATCTTAGAGTATCCAACATAATAATTTCATTTTTCATATTAACCTTCCTTCCATATTTTCCATAAAGTACCTGAGAGCATAGCTTATCAGGTTGAGCAATTAGGTTCCATCCAATCCTACCAATTAAAGCCTCATTCATAGCTTTTAAATCCTTCAAACCATATCCGCCCCTTTGCTTCGAAGTACACATCGTTTCCCAACTTATTGCATGAACCTTTCGTTTCCCCTCCTCTTCATTCCATATAAAACTTTTTTGAATTCTCTCCATTTGCCGAACCACATTCATAGGTAAATGAGTATGCTGCATAGAGAACACAACCATTTGATTCGTGACAGATTGAACAAGAGTTAACCTCCCCACCAAAGATAGCGTTTGCTTCTTCCAGCTGTTCAGTTTGCTTTGCATCTTATCAATTATATATTGAAATTTGCCTCTATTGCTCCTTCCTTTTGTAATGTATGCTCCTAAATATCTTCCCAGGTCCTCCACTTTTTTGAAACCTGAAAGGTTGCAAATATCTGCTTGCATTCTCCTTTCTGTATTTTTTGAAAAGAAAACACTAGTCTTTTGCACATTCAACTTCTGTCCCGACATTTCTCCAAAATCCTCTAACACCTTCAAAATGGTTGCCATACCATCCATGCTAGCCTCAGAAAAGAGTAACAAGTCATCTGCAAAAAGTAAATGCGATATAGCTATACCCTTTCTACCCACCTTCATAGGTCTCCAAGTTTTCTCACAGACACAGTGAGCAATCATATGTGAAAGTTTCTCCATTCCTAACACAAAAAGGTAAGGAGATAAAGGATCTCCTTGCCTTAACCCCCTTGATGGTTCAAATTCTTCTTCCTTCCCTCCATTCCACATTACGGCCATTTCTATGGTGGTAACACACCCCATAATAACTCTTTTAACATGTTCATCTATCCCAATTTCTTCCAACACCCTCTCTAAGAAATTCCATGACATTCTATCATACGCTTTTTCCAATTATATTTTCACAGCCATATAACTCGTTTTTCCTTGCATCTTATTCATAGAGAGTACCATTTCCTTTGCTATGACAATGTTATCATGTATACTTCTCCTTGGTACAAAACTTGTTTGAAAAGGAGACACCCATTTATCCATAAGGTTCTTTAATCTATTTACTAGCAACTTAGATAAACCTTTATACAAAACATTACAAAGAGCAATGGGTCTAAACAGACTTACCAATTCAAGCCGCTCAAGCTTTGGGATGAGAACCAGCAGCGTTTTATTTACCTCTCTAATCCGATCAGGGTTCCTCCACAGCATCTTAATCCAGTTTACCATTGAAGTCCCCACCGTTTCCCAATTTTGTTGATAAAATAAGACTGGGAATCCATCTTCCCCTGGTGCTTTGTAGCTTACCATTTGGAAGAAAGCTCTCTTTATCTCTTCGCCTTTCACTGTAGTACTCAATCTTTCTACTTCCTACCTACTCACATCCCCCCACTTCTGCTCTGTAACAACCCAACTTCTTTTATTATGTTCTTCTTGGAATAAATCTTTAGAAAAGCTACTAAACAGATTCACAATTTCTTCCTCCTTATCTACCCATTCCCCTGCATTATTCTTAACATTTTGACTTTATTCCTTCTCCTTGGATGATTGTCTTGTTATCATAATACCTTGTATTTCTATCTCCTTATTCTATCTATGTGCTTCGTGATTTTTGAAACCATCACTACTACACTGAAGCCTTTTTACTTCTGTTTTGGAGGACTTTTTACGTCTGTTTTGAAGGGGACATGAAAAGAAGGGACATAAAAAGTACCCCCTTTTTACTTCTGTTTGGAACGGACGAGAATTCACGTCTGGTTGAAAAAAACAGACGTGAATTCACGTCTGTTAATTTTAAAACAGACGTAAATTACGTCTGTTTAGAGAAAAACAGACGTGAATTCACGTCTGTTTATTTTAAAAACAGACGTGAATTCACGTCTTTTTTTTTAATAACAGACGTGAATTCACGTCTGTTTAGAGAAAAACAGACGTGAATTCACGTCTGTTTTTCTCTAAACAGACGTGAATTTACTCTGTTTTTTTTAAAAAAAGATTCAGTTCGTATATACTGCTTCTCCTACAGCCACAATAGCCATAATAGCCACTTTCCAGCAAGTTGAAATAGTATGAACCAGTCAATATTTTCAGCCAAGACATATCAACATCATAACTTCATCTATATAGACACATTAATTAACTAACTAGTCAAAAAAGAAGAACAAATTACAAAAGTCAATATTGATCCTATTGTCTCTAAACATAAACTTGCTCAATCCCTGGACCACAATTCTTGAAGCAGTTGTGTGCCAAAAGGTCTCGGATGAAGTTAATGTCATCAATAGTATATGAACAATCATTATCAAAAATCTGTAAATTGACAAATGAACAAATTTAAACATAGGAAGAAAATAAAATAAGTAACAATTCAATTTAAAAATTCAACTATTACAAAACTAAAATTATATTTACTTACCTCATCAAATTTTGTAATACATCCGCTCTCAATAATCTCAAACATATAACGGATAATGTAATATCCGCACTCTGTTGGCCCTTGTTGCTTAGCACACTGCAAATCACAAGGAAATGATAATCCAAATTCATATATAAAATAACTGCCATCAATGAAAGAACTTCAATTTAAAGTACTCACACTAGGATATATCCAAGTTGTTGAGCCATTTTTCCCGGAACGCTTCCCACCGGTTATATAATAAGTCTTTAAAGCCCTATAAGCAAATGAAAGCACAAGTTAAATAATTTATATTGAAAACAAAATTATTGATCTACATTAAGGTACTTACGTGTTGAAAACGCCCCTCATCTCACCGCTTGGACGACGACCCAAGGGATCAAACCAGTAGATGACATTGTCAATGGGACAAGAAACACACAAACTCCAATGACAACTGCATCATAGAGTAAGACTTATACATTACTGGATATCACAATAATTCTTAACAATTTAAGTATGTATAAATAAATATAATTAAGCTACTTGCCCTTCAATAATTGGTGCCAAATAACAAGGTAATTTAGTGTCTCCAATTGTATTGCCCACATATCTGATTCTCCTATCTAGTGGGTTGTACTTCTTCTGGACACTTGCAGGGCATAAATATCCATACAAATTTTCTTCTCCATTGATGACATGCATTTGTTATGGAAGAAGCTATCATTGAATTGAAATAAGATAATTATTAGTATGTGAAAGTAAGAGATTAGAAATTTAAGTTAGAAATGAAAAAGTAAACTTACATGATTGCTAATTGAACCCATGCTATGTCCAACTCCTTCAAGGATAACAAATCCCTGATGTCTTTGTTGTCAAGTCCAAAGAAATATGATTTTTCTTCACCCACAATCCCTACAGGCATCTTTATGTCGACCTTGTTAATTGTTTTATATTCCTCATATAATTGTGCCAAGCAGGGATATCTATTAACATCTTTCTGGTCCTAATGAAACATCAAATAAACATAATAAGTATTATAAGTATTATGTTAAAAAAATGCATACAGTATAGAATAACATTTTCTTACCATCACAGGTATTATCTCCTCATCAACAAGGTGTCTAGGCCAAAGAATGAAAGTTCCAATTGCCTGACCTAACTTCACAACTTCAGCAGTCGGGAATGGCACATCCGCATCTGTCTCTCCCTCTCGAACAGTCGTAACTGTAACCCTCGCTTGGTCCTCTTGAATATGTTGGTGATGGATAGTGCTCCCTTGATTGTAGAGGAGAGCGTCAGCAACAACACGCATCCTTGGGACCTCTAAACGAAGACAACAAGGTTGTCCAAAGTCCGGCGTGGGACTACTAGGATCATGCTCTCCCAATGCCCCCGGTGGATTACAACTGTTTTTAGTGCTAGGAAAGACGGGGGAATCCTAAATGAGAGAAATGCAAGTATTAAATTAAATTAAAAAAACGTTGGTAAAACTCAACATTAATTTAAGTGAAATTGATTACAAACCTGGGATGTGCATTGTTGTTGAACTGTCCCAATTTGCATGCTAGAGACCATAGATTTCATCTCATCACGAAGCTCAGCCATAAGCTCTTTTCGAAGTGACTGGCGTAACTGGGCCTCAATCTTGACCTCTAGCTCAGATTGGAGCTCATCACGAACTTGGTCTCGAAGTTTAGCTATCATCTCATCAGTGGGTTGACTTCGTAGAGAAGCTCGTGAAGTTTGTCCAAAATATTGGGTAAGACCAACTGTCCTCCCTTCTCCTCTAACGCGTCCGGGGTGATCAGGCTTCCCAATCGCTGTCGCTAAAATGTCCATCCTTCCACTCGGACTAAATGAACCTTCACTGCTTTGCTCTTCAAGTACCTCCTATAACATTTTAAGTATGATAAAAAATTAATGACAGTATAATAGAAAATTAATGATAAAATATAAGGAATATTACCATAAGTTAAAGTTATTTGATGTATACAACTTACAATTTTTTTAGCAATCTCAGCAACTGCTGGATTAATATATTGACCCTTCTTCATCCTTGCTTCCTTCCATTTTCTATGACGTGGAGGAGGAGGTGGGGTCTGAACAACGATACTAGGATCAGATTTTGCAGCTTCCTGCATCGCCTTAAAGTCATCCTGCATGATCCTCTCCTCAAGCATCTTGTAACCTCCACGGGATAAATAGTGCGGATATAAATTTTTAGCTTGCCTTTCTTTATTCATCGCACTTAATTCCTGTGGAAAAGAAAACAAAGTAAATTGAGTAAGTGAAGTAAATTAAATCAAACTTTGCTTTATAAGGCAATGTACCTGAAATTTAGGATCATGCCGTGATGCCACAAACCTCCTCCAATCATCTGGATCAAGGAAGGAGTATTTTTCGCACGGATCATCATCTTTCCTAGGCCCTCGCACATACTGGCTCGTGAGTGTGTGCTTAAAATCTTTCCAGCGCTGACGAACTTGCTGCAACAAATGCTTTTTCATTTGCTCAGTACGAGGGATGTCATACGTTTGCTGCAAAGAAAAATATATATGTTTGAGTTTAAGATCTTAGTTATAACTATATTTACAATAAAACAAATGAAATAAAATTAGAAAGTGACATACCAAAATATATTCCCAAATCCTATCCTTCGTCTCCTTAGAAATTGACTTCCAATTAGGCCATAGAATATTGACTTTGCTTCGGGCAACGGAGCCTATATAGCTAATGAATCTGTCCTTCTCTTCACCAATTGGATTCATATTGGCATCAAAATCCACATGCTTCTTCTGAATACGACCATGACGTACTGCTAACTTTGGTAGCCTTGTACTACCTCTAACCTTCCTTCCTTCCGGCTGATTGACATCATCGATGTCATAATCCTCCTCCATATTGGCATCAAAATCCTCCTCCATGTGCCTGTTGAAAAACCAAAATTAGATAAATAAGTAAATTATAGTGAAATGTATTAATATATAAATAATATCAAGTACATTGCAATGAAATAAATGAAAGAAAATAACACAAGGTACGTTGCAAAATTACATTACTTAATCTGACTTTATGCATTGTCCCATATCCCTTCACAATGATCATCTCTTGCAGCATATTCATCATTATCTACCAATTCTACTTCACTTGGTCTAGGCGGATTTGAAGCAAAAGGTGGTGTCTCATCAAGATTCATGGTAGGATCACTGTCCTTCTGCTTTTTACTTTGAAGGACAATAGACAATTTTTTATTTGCTGGATCAGTAACATAAAATACTTGTTTTGCCTGGCTTGCTAAAATGAAAGGCTCATCTGCATAACCAACCCTGCCAAGATCAACTAATGTAAATCCAAATTGTTGATCTATTTCAATACTGTTGTTGTTGACCCATTTACATTTGAAGACAGGAATCTTGAAATTGGTGTAGTTTACCTCCCATATCTCTTCAATAACTCCATAATAAGCCATAGATGCCAATTTGGGGTTTTTATCTTTCGAACTCGAAAAATGCATCGCTTCAGCAACCACCATTACCCCACTATTCTGCACAGTACTTTTGTCATCTTGAGCTTTTGTGTAGAAGGAATATCCATTTATGTCGTATCCACTCCAAGTGATAACTTCAAAACAAGGACCCCAAGCTAACCATTTTATTGTATCAGATACATTGGCCTCTCTCAAAACTTTTTCACTGAACCATGTTATAAATGTTTTGTTATGCTCATTTGCTATCTGCATATCACTTTTCTTTGGATACTTCTCTTTTAAACTTTTTTTGTGATCATCTAAATACGACTGCACTTCTTCCATATTATTCAATATGTATAAGTGCGCTTGTAACACTTCTTCACGACCCATACTCTTTACCTTCAACCCCCTGATTCCTTTACTTGTACCGTTTTCATGCCGAGATGGTGTCTTAGCTATAGATAGATATGTTTTGCAAAATTCCATAGCCTCTTCCGCTACATACCTTTCAACAATTGATGCTTCAGGTCGATAAGGATTTTTAGAATAATTTTTAAGACTTTCATGTACCTCTCAAATGGATACATCCATCTTAGAAAAATAGGACCGCAAAGCCTTATCTCCCTCACTAAATGAATGATCAAATGCACCATGATGTCAAAAAATGCTGGGGGAAAGTGCATTTCTAGTTGAGACAAGATAACATAACCCTCATTTTCCAATTCATCCAATTTCTCTATGTCAATGACTTTGCTACAAATAGCATTGAAGAAGATACATAATCTAGTTATAGTGCTCCTCACATCATCTCTCATTGTGCCTCGAATAGCTACGGGTAATAGTTGTTGCATCAGTACATGATAATCATGAGACTTCATTCCCACTAACTTCAAATCATGCATTGAGACAAGCCTTTTCACATTAGAAGAATACCCCTGGGGCACCTTGATGTCATGCAAACACCGACACAAGCTTGTTTTTTCGACTTTAGACAATGTGTGGGCCGCAGGTTCCATATAAGCCCGCTTACCACCCTCTCTCAATTGTGGATGTAAGCGCTCTCGAATGCCCATTTCAGCCAGATCAAGTCTTGCATTAATTCCGTCTTTAGTTTTTCCGGTATGTGCAAAAGAGTACCGATAAGACTATCACACACATTTTTTCCACATGCATCACATCGATACTGTGTCTTACATCAAGACTGCGCCAATATGGAAGATCAAAGAAAATAGACCTCTTCTTCCATATGTTTTTCTCACTTGCAGCTTTTTGAGTCTTACCGAAAATGACATTGATTCTTTCAACTCGCTGGTAAACTTCCTCTCCAGTTAATGCCTTCGGAGCCATGCCATGCTCTGGTGAGCCATTAAAAACCTTTTTCAATCTCCGGTATGGGTGGAACCGATCAAGAAACCTCCTGTGACCGAGGTAAACTGTCTTCCTTCCGTGCTTAAGTTGGTGGAAGTATGTGTCTGCTTCACATATAGGACATGCTTTATGCCCCTTCACACTGTATCCTGATAGATTTCCATATGCAGGAAAGTCATTTATCGTTGTAAAGATCATGGCACGCAACTTAAAGGACTCCTGCTTGTATGCATCAAACACATCCACGCCTTCTTCCCACAACATCTTCAAATCTTCAATTAAAGGTGCCAAGTAGATATCGATATTGTTTCCTGGTTGTTTCGGTCCTGAAATCATCATAGAAAGCATCATGTACTTGCGCTTCATACATAACCAGGGAGGTAGGTTGTAAATCACCAACAGTACTGGCCATGCACTATGTGTGCTATTAAGAGTACCGTAAGGGTTGATTCCATCTGTACAAAGCCCAAGGCGAAGATTTCTTGGTTCAAGACCAAATTCTGGAAACATTTCATCTATTTTCTGCCATTGAGGAGAATCAGCAGGGTGCCGAAGATATCTTCCATCTGATATTCTCTCATCAAAATGCCATCTTAACTTCTTCGCTTCTGTTGCATTAGCAAATAAGCGCTTAAATCGTGGTATTATCGGAAGATACCATAACACCTTCAAAGGTTGCCCTTTACTTGTCTCGTCACCATCA